TTCAGCAATTATAGATGTGTTTTTTGGATATGTATTTGCTATCTACATTAAATTGTGTAATATCATATGTATTTGCTTTATATCGGCCTAAATGTAATAAAGGCCATACATGCAATGCTGTCAGGTCAGTGGTTGGGTTTATGACAAGTTTATAGTTTTTAGCAGTTTGCATGTGTCTGAAGTGCTGCTGAGTTTGTTTTGGTAAAATTTTGTGTTTGCATAATTGTGTGGAAATTGTAAAAAAAAAATTAAAAAAAAGGTGAGAATAGTGATTGATACATATTGAAGTCGGCAGAATCATTTGATTTGTGCCCTTACCATGATAGAAGGCGACTGTAAGGAACGACAAACAGTTTAAAAGTTAACTAAATGATCTTCACACCTAAAGTTGAAATTAGAAACACAGTTCTTTCCTCCTCTGATTTCCTGAGTTTTGAAATGATTACAGCATTAATTGAAAGTTTCTTTGTTCCTCTCAAGAGTTGGATTCTTTCCGCAGTGGAGGAAAACAACCTCAAAGTGAGATCACGCTGTGTTTTGGAGAAGAGCTGTATGATGGAGATGACGTTGATGATAAACACATCATCATTAAGGTACAGACCTAATGTCAATGCAGCAATATCTTTTGTATATGGATCAAATGCTACATTTGTGCTGTAAGTGGATGCAACCTTTGCTACTTTAGCAGCTGTCTAAAACTTGCCACTTTGAGACTTTGAGATCTTGCATGTTGAGACCATTTGTGTTGCAACATACGTATTTGAGTGTTTTGAATGGAACAGAAGCATGAATGAGAGTTTTTGAGATATGGCAGAAAAAATATTTACATTTCCACTAGAATGATTGATTTTGGGTGCACTATTCTTTTAATTTTCTTTTGCTTTCTCCAGATCTCTATCCCCTGGGTTGAGTCGCAGATAGAAGAGGTCAAGACCCTCAGAGACTCTATTGCAATTCTCAAAAGTTTGGCCAGCCAGTCTCCTACAGGGGAAGTGACGCTGAACTTTGTTGAAGTATTGGAGCAGTAACAAACCTCTAAGATAACACTTTCTGCATTCTTGAGATCTTGACATTAAGAATCAAAATGAAGAAGAACAACTATATATGGCATGACTTGAGACAACTTGTATAAACACTTTCCTGTAGGTAGCTAGTGGAAATAAACACTGTAATTATCAGTTGCTTCAAATACATAAAATATATAGCCATATAGTAGTTAAATCCACATATTTATAAGTAATATAAAACATGTCTTTAGTCAATATAGAATTGTATGTTACACTGCAAAATGTAAGAACACAAAATATTTTGTCATTTGTAACACTATGCATTTCCCATCTGGCCTAGTGGAGTCTGAGTAAAGTTCAAACTCATTAAATGCATTAATAACAATGTACATGGTTAACTAAAAATGGATTGTTAAATGACCCTGTACATTTTCATCTAACGCTAATGTTACACTGAATTTTTTCATTTGTTTTGTAAATAAATTAATCAGTGGCAATAAAGGATGTCATCGCTTGCCTTGTGATGCTGGCTGTCTCAATCATAATGGCAGAAACCGAGAACTTCACTTTTCTTGGATTCTATCCACGGAAAGTGAGTTTAAGGCTACTTGTTTTAGATTTTAGTCACCAGTAGCCATGCAAACACAATTACCATGCAGGTATCGGGTGTAATGCACCTTTTTTAGGGGTCCACATATCAAAGGTGCTGGAACCCATTTCTACGGTGGACGAGAAGTGCAAAACAAATCACAATTCTGAAAACAAAATAACAAATTACAAACGCAAATGCAAGTCTATATAACAAAATAACAATTCAGAAAGCACAACAACAATTCAGAAAACATTATAACAAGTCAGAAAACACAACAACAAATCAGACAAACCGGAAGAGGTAGGTATAGTTTGAGACAGCGCCATTGGTTTGGGATTACTCACCGCTGACTGGACGAGACATCTGTCAATCAACGTATACAGGAAGAACCAGCCGAAGAACAGCAGAGTCATGGTAGAAAGTTCGGAGATGGTATTAAAGTAGCTCAGTTTAAATGTATTGTATGAATTGCCCTTACTATGGAATAAAAATACGGAGTTAAATTAGTTAAAATAGCTGTAAAACATTAGCTCCAGTGGTGCAGATGGCTTTTTGATGCGATCGACCCAGGTTCGATCCCGCCTTTTGCCGAACTTTTTTTTTCTCCCTTTTCAAATATCGTATCACATCGTTCACTTAGTGTAAATAGAATCCATTGCTAATACGAGATTTGAAAAGGTCGGCAAAAGACAGGATCGAACCCGGGTCGATCACGTCAAAAAGCCAACAACACACGCTTATCCATCTGCGCCACTGGAACTGATGTTTTATAGCCACTTTTAACTAAATGTAAATAGACACCCCGTATTTTTTATTCCAGAGTAAGGGTTTCTGTTTGTACTGATTTTCTTCTTCGTCCTCTTCTCTTTTTTATTGTGCCCTAAAAGTGTACAGGCTGTAAATTTTAGAAACCCCAAACATGGCAGGATGGTCACAATCGTGTGCATCTGCTCGGGCTCACAGAAACACATCAGTGTGACACTAGGTGGCGCTATAGAGAGCTGCAAGGATGAAATATTTTTGTAGGCCAAAACCCCGAAACGAGTATTTTAGCACGTCCAGCTTCATAGGTCTGAAGTCAGTTTTTTTTTTGGCTAAATGGCTGAAATAAGTTCTGTGGTTAACACAAGCTCAAGATATTCTCAAGCATTATTCTATGGCACAACATTTTTCTGAATAACCTAGTCATGATTTATTCTTTTATGTGTCATGCAAAAAGGTGATTGATAACAAGTGGTTAAATGGGAATACAAAGGTTGTTGGGCCATTGAAACTCTGCTCACTAGTCCGCTTTTACAGCCTCATTTGTGTTTATAATTGTGCACTTGCAAACTATTCTAACTCAAAAGGGAATTTAAAAAAAAATAAAGACTAAGAATTGTTGAAAGATTAGAGATGGTGACACTGTAGTAGTCTTCTGATCGTACTGTAGTTTCTAGTTTGTTTATAGCCAATTGTATATACATCAAAGTTCATAAAAGCTGTGTTCATTTGTGAAGATTATCATGATGAACAAAACATGTAAGAATTAACTTTTGCTGGCCACAAAAACTAATTTTATGCAATAATTCAAATGGAAACATCTTATTGGGTTTTTATCAAGGGAACCAGGGTGACGCTAACTTCCGGGTTGCCCTACAATGGGGTGACCATACGTGCCATTTTCCCAGGACGCGTCCTGGCCAGGATTTCCATATTGCCTAAAATATCTAGGTTTTGGCTTTGTTTGCGTGTGCAGACCGATCGGTGTATGACATCAAAATACCTCGAGAGCATTTTGAAAGCATAAGGAACCATCTGTATGGTATTTTGATGTCATACACCGATCGGTCTGCACACGCAAACAAAGCCAAAACCTAGATATTTTAGGCAATATAGAAATCCTGGCCAGTTATAGTTATTGATTTTATCAAAGCGATTTAAGTCACAAATTGACTTGAATCTCCTGACTGCAATGTCCAAAGTTAACAAAACTTGATATACATAGCCCACAAGATATTCTGAGGACACACTCCAAGTTGCATTAGAATTGCACCTGTAGGGGAGGCTACAACTACAAATTCTTAATAATGTCATAATGTTAGGGATTTAGTGCCCCCCTGGAGGGTATTCCAGAAAGCAGGCTTAATTTATTGTGACAGTAACAATGAAGTGATTGAACTGCAATTTGATTAAACTAAATGTACTTGAGGCTATTGGTTACAAAACAACACTTTGGTTTTAGTTGAATCAACCCAATTTGTAACTCAAAGAGCAAATTCCAAACACCATTTTTGCTCCTGTGACGGGGACGCCACACAAAGGGTCGTTCCAAATTAAAGTGAAATAGATTAAGAAAAAAAGATAATGTAATTTAAAGAATGCTATTAACCAAACCATTTCAGTGCCAGTTGACTTTCATTGAATGGACCAAAAAACAAAAAAAAACACAGAAATGTTTCTAAATATATATTTTTTAATGTTCCACAGATGATAGTCAGTCATACAGGTTAGGAAATGCAAACGTCAGCAGTGCTGCAGTGGAAAAAAGGCATCAGAACAGCAAATATAAGCTCCAGACAGACCTGAAGATTCACATATTGTAGGACACACCTCGCATGAATCATACACTCACACTACTCTGAGCTGATTTACTCTCAGTTTGCTGAAAGGAATCATCTAAATTATTAGAGACTGGATTAGCTCACAATAACCTTCATATAGTTAAAGTTGAATACTACACTACTTCATGACAACATAAAATCTCATGAAACTTTTTTTTTCGTATTAAGTCTGTAAAATGGAGAACCCCATGTAATGACAGCACCTGAGGAAACATACGTAGTTTCATTACAGATTAATTTAAAGGTGGGGTATGTCTTTTTTCAAAACCCCTTTAGAAAACTGAGTCGGGCCGAGTACCAAAACAAACTTGTAGCCAATCAGCAGTAAGGGGCGTGTCTACTCATGATGCGGAGGAGAGAGCGCTCAGTGCACCGGACGAACATTAGCCGAGCCGAGCGAGGACAGAAAGATAGAGCTGGCGGATAAAAAACAAAGAGGAAAATGTCTGCGGAAAAAAAGAAGGCTTACGATAAGGCAAGAAGGGTCCCATGTAAATATCGGATCAGCTTTCCAGTGCGATCGGATGCCGAGGTTGCTTTGTTTCTTCTCGATAGGTGAGTAACATTGGTTTTGCTTCGTTTCACAGAACTAATATATGCTGTTAAAACACATATATGCATGTTAAAAACACATTCGACCTGTATTACCATAGTAACACATTGCTTTCACTTATTAATGACATCATACCCTCGGCCGGCTGGCACAGCAGATTCCTCCATAATCATTGCCTGGGTTGCGTATGTATGTGTGGGGCGGAACTATCAAAATAGGGGCGAGACCCTTTTGGGGTAGGGGCGTGTTTGTTTTGGTGATTTGAAATATCAACATTGGCTACCAGAAATCACTTACCCCACCTTTAATGTTTAGATAGATGGATATATAGATCTTAAACTAACCAATTAATGACAGACCATCAAAGTGATCAAAGAAAAAATATGCTGCTTGTACTACGAGTCCCCCTCAATGTAAGTTTGTGTTTATTTTTAGGGTCAAAGAGGGTCAAAAAATCATACCAAACTAAAGAAGATGGTTCTTTTTGCATATATTGAGGACATCATGTATATCACATAAATAAAATGAAATACGATACACTGAGTCAAATAATCTTAAAAACAAAATTTTAGACAACATGGGGCATGATTTTGGCATTGAGTTTCTGATTGGTCCAATCTTTTGTGATGTCATCCAAATGGCTGTCAAAGTCCACCAATAGTGCCTGATCCCTGATCACCAACAGCTGATTAACTATGGAACAGGTTTCTTCCCACTGCCGAAGCATTATTCTAAAGAATAAAGAATACTAATTAATTGCACTGCAGCATTATCATCAACAAAGCTGCACATTTTTTGAGATTTGTCTTACGTGTGTTTGTCTTTGAGAGCCCAGCGGGCGTCTTTACGCTCATACATCACGATCGGAGGAACACGGCAGCTTGGAAACATCTTTTCTCCATCAATCTGAGGCAGAGGGAAAAAAATGTTCCCATTAAAAAAAAAGGACTTTTCCAATAAACTTTTGCACCAAGAGACATTTTCTAAATTACCATAAGCCTTTTCCAATCACCAAGGTGACATTTTCTAAATTACCATAAGCAACACGGCATTGTTACACTGCTCGAAGTGCTCGAAGACAATCTTCAAAGCACATGGTGTAGGGCTGAAGAAAAAAAAAAAAGAGAAAAGTAAAACACAGAGAATAATAAGGAACTCGGGAATGATGAAAACAGATGGAGGAGTACCTGCTGTCTGAGACACAAGCATTGGCTTGATAATATCCCATAATCCTTTGATGTGTTTGCGAACACCAAGCGTCGACCTACAACAGGAATTATTGACATGTATTCTATAAAAGAAGCATTTAAATTTTACATTTAGCAGGGATATTTATCCAAAGAGACTTACAAATGAGGAATACAATGTCATGCTGTTAATGCTGCTATAATAAAGATCATTCTATATTCAATTCTTTAAAAACACAGTCCCAGATAAAAAAAATAAAAATGTGTATATACAGGTGCATCTCAATAAATTAGAATGTCGTGGAAAAGTTCATTTATTTCAGTAATTCAACTCAAA